TTCTGGGGCTCTTCGTGGCCCCGCCCTTTGTAATGTATTATCAAATTGCCAGGAAATCAGACAGCGCTCTCCAAAGAGGCCGGAACTTATTTTACAACGGCTTTGGGGAATGCTATGCATGCATTCGGGACCCTCAGGGTGTCACAAACTAGAGATTTGAGGATTTGAGTGATGCCGCAACGAAGGATGGATCGCTCCAACTTTTCGCAACCCTTATCAACAGCCCCTTCGAAAAGTCATAAAGCCCGAACCGTTGGTTAGGGCTCCTTCTGGAGCGGGCCAGTATGTTCGGGAACCAAAATATGCTCAGGGGGTTAGGCTTTGTGGTTTCGGGCTTACGGCTTAGACAACGGACCTCCAAGCAGAAGAATGGCTGGCGAGTTCCGGGCCGAGCACAAAAGCCGACTCCCGCACACAGTCTCGGGCCCCCGTGTAGTCGGGCCCCTGTACCCTGCAGTCTTCTGGATGCTTGTTTGCAGTTGTATTTTGGCCTCCTACTTGGCAAGGACAAGGCCCGCCTCTGTTTCGGGTTCTTTTAGTTTAGAGTTTAGGGCCCCGATGTTTTTCCCAAGCCGACCCGCCCCAGTAACCTTTCGTTTTATGGCTCAGCTCCACACACTGTACTCCAGATCTGAACCCTGTGGGTTTTTGTTGCGACTGGACTGGACTCAAACCCGACCCCCAAAGCCCTAAACCCCCTAAACCCTTTCAACCCTGAAGGGAACCCGATGCCCTAGATTCCAAACAGGGACCCAAAAGGCTCTATACTTGAACCCTCAAGCCGAGATCCCTTTAGGGCTTTGGGATTACGGGTTTGGGGCTTAGGGTTCAGGATTTAGGTTTTGTTTTTGCCTCCTACGGTGTTTAGGGCTTAGGTGTTTAGGGTTTAGGTGTTTAGGGTTTAGGGGTTTAGGGGTTTAGGGGTTTAGGGCTTACGGCGTGGATCCTAGAGGGTTTTAGGGCTCCCTTTGTCCCATTTTCTCGTACGTTATCACTGCCCGGGGTCGCACACCACCGGTGTAGAGGGCCTTCAACACTCGACCAAGGCGAGTGTCACGGAAGTGGCAGCTAATTCGCCTAACTACAGCTGCCAGCAGATTCGACATGTTGCATCATTGAAAGGAGTTTGAACACATTCTTCCAGTCACGCTACGACTGCTGTTGAGCTGAGTCCTGACCACATCTCGAACCGGCTGGACAAGCACACTAACTCTCTTCTTTACCACAGCAACTCGACATTTAGCAATGAGGAATGGACCTGTTCCAGACTGTTTTGCCCTAGATAGCTCTGCATCCCTGAGCTGGGAAGACCTAATTAAACCAAGTCGTGGTTCGAACCAATGAGGTGCAAAGTTGCAGCAGATAGCACATCTCTTCACGTCACAGCGTTCATATCATCTCAGTTCGGGATCAGTAAGCGCCGAATTTGTACACTGCCAAAGCGGCCCGGCACGTCCTGGCAGTGCGGAGGCCGTAGTTCTGCTGATCTGCCTCTTCATCTTTTTGGGTTTAGCACACTCCTTTCACATCAGAGCCCCTAGTGGGCTAAACCTGCAAAGATCTAAAGCGACTAGTGACTAGTTAATCTCAAAACCCTCGTCGCATCCCAGACCCCCAAGCCAAAACCTGCCACCGAAGCCATTTAGCAGCCGAGAAGCACACAGTCAAACCCCTCCTAAACCCGCAACCCCCTAACCCTAAACTAAACCCCCTAAACTCGTGAGCTCTAAGTCTAAACCCGAACACCCTGAACCACGACCTCTTAACCTTCCACTCCAAAACCCCATGTTAAAGGCCATTGGCCGGTAGAAAATCCCGATGAACCCGTCATGAAAACCTAAATGAGCTACCCATCCCCCCATTTTTTCACAAGGGACTCGGCACCCATCCCCCCATACAAACCTAAATCATCCGAGCCTCACGTGGCCATTCTCAGGCGGCCGCCGAACTCGGACCACCGTGGATCATGCCTAAACCGCCAACTCTGAGACATGTGCTATAGGAGTGTACTATACGGCCCTGTGAGTTCTATAACGCTTTCGAAGGGTGCTGCAGCTGTTTGAAACGATTTCATAGAGACCCCAATGAAGTCCGTAGTGCAGTAGTCGACAGGTTAAGGGTTTATGTTTTTTTTTCTGAATCTTTCCGAACTGTCGTCAGAGCGTGGCTCATAATAGGCTTCGGGACAGGAGACTTGCGTACTACTCGTTGTGGCCGTGCTGGCCCGGCGGCCCAGGCACTAGGGCCACTAGGGGCTGAGTGCCTAGACCCATACGGCTTAAGTAATCCTTACCTTTTCTTTTCCTACACTACGTATAGTGCACTGGACTATACGATGCAAAGCCATGCTGCACTGTACTATAATACAATATGCTATCTAAACCGAAACTACATTACATTATAATCCTAGTCTGTTTTACCATATACAGGCTTCTCACACCTGCACCCACTGCCAGCACCTGCAACCGACGAGCCCGTCAAGTTGAGGCACGCTTCTCAGGCTTTCGTCTCTTTCGCAGTGCTCAGGGGCTTCGGGCCGTAACGCTTTACAGAGTTTTGGCTTTTACACCCTAAACCCTAAACCCTAAACCCTAAACCCTGAACCCTAAATCCTCTCATTCATATTGATATTTAAACCTTGTTGCACTTTCCGTCAAAAATTGGACCAATGTTGTTGCACTTTCCGTCAAAACCGGACCAATGTT